ACACAGTCTGCAAACACATAAAGCAAAAACTACCAGACAAAATGGCGAGCCACCATGCTGGGAGAGAACAAAGCACGTTCTTATTTCACAAATGGCTGCTGCAGAATGACATAGAACCTCAAGGACATTCATCTTGCAGGAAAGCTCAGCCTCACAGGTCCCACAGACAAGCTTGTTCAGAACAGCAAAACTCAACAACTAACTCAACTGCCAGTCAGGAAGAAAATGCAGACACAAATTTGTCTACAGAATATTCTACAGCAATAAAAATAAATGTACCCACTGCTGGCAACCGTATAGATTAATAAGAGTGAAAAAAGGTACAAATCCACCTTTCTATGGCTGACACTCAGAGGCCTATGGCCCAGGACTCCCACAAAGCCCTGGTGAAGCTCTGTCTCTCTCCGGGCCTTGCCACCCTCCTCTGTTTCAGACCCTCCCCGTTTCTACAAAAGAACCCTGTTTTGTGTACCTTGCCCCGTTGGACATGCCTTCTACTCCCCTCTTTCCCAGAGCCCAGTTTTCCTCTGGGTGGGGTGGGAGAGGTGGCATCACCCTCAGCAATTAGACCAGGGTCTGGGCAGTGGAATCCTGCAGGGACTTCTGCTCGGGTGGCCCCTGCAGACTGCACACACCCCTGCCATGTGTGATGTCTTGTTCAGGGGCCTCTCCACCAGGGACACTGTCAGGAGTCTTCAGAACACTCAGGACAAAGATCGTAAAAGCTTCCAGGGAAAGAAGGCCAAGGCCTCCTTTTTCACACAGCAGCAGCAGCAGTGTCAGATGGTGCTGGAAACAGCAGGGCTGGAAGTTAGAGGGCAACACGGTGACGCCGCCAACCTCCCGGCAAAGATCACCCCAAGTCCAAGTCCCCCGTGGCAGGTAGGAAACCACCTGCAACATGCAGTTCAAAAGCATTTCCCCCTTTCCTGTTCAGGAACCTTAAAGAAAAAACAAGATGACTCTCCGATGGGGGGATACTGGCACAGAAAAGACCGAAGACCGGGGTCCAGCTGGGAGGGAGCACCAGGAGGCCCCCAGGGGACCGTCCCAGTGGAAGCCCAGATGATTGGAGCTGGACAAGAGGACTCCAAAGAGAACCCCAAACTACAGGAAACAAATGGACAATGGACAGCAAAAGGGTATGGTCTGTGGATTTGGGAACACGTCCATGACATCAAAAATGACACAAATGAAGATGTGAGTCTAAGGGAAACAAAACTGTCACGTTAAGAACTGTGACCAGAGCCCAATAATAGAAATCCAGGAACCATCATGCCAAATTAAAAAAAAAAAAAAAAGAAAATCAACCCACTGGACTTTATTAAAAGCACACACCTGACAGGACTCACACTCAGAGCGGGATGATCTGTAAGTCAGTGAGAAGGACAAGAGGAAAGACCTGCACAGACGCACCCCGGGAGACAAGGGCACGCAGACCAGCCCATGAGAGACGTGCCGCACTGTGAATCAGGAAACAGCTCTAGAAGTGCCCAACCTGAAAGAACTCCGCCCACCCATCAGGGCACAAACAAAGGGCCACCCAGACCTACGTGAGGCCGGCTCAGAAAGGCAGCACCAGAGTCAGGGGTTCAGGAACACAATCCAGCCACACCCACAACTCCACTCACACGACTCCTGGCACTCGCACCTAACCTTGCCACACAGAGCAGATCAGTGGCTGCCTAGAGGACCTGGATTCTGGGAGGAAGGACAGTTCCAACACCTGGCCTCCACACTAGCCACTCAGCTGCCTGCGGCAGAGCTCATGTGCAGTTGGCTGTGCTTCAATTAAGCCCCAGTAAGAGGGACACAAGTCACTGGGCCAGGCCGAGTGTCTGTCTCAGCAGCAGAAAGGTCATGTCGTCACCACATAAACAGCACGTGTTGACATCAGCCACGATCGTGTGGATTACACCAGCCAGGGTGAGTAATGGCATAAAAAAGCCAAATCCACATTTTCTACCTTAAGAACTTATTAAATGTCTAAACTTAAAAAGCAATAGCAGCCAGCTGTGATGGCTACGCCTATAATCCCAGCAGTCTGGGAGGCTGAGGCAGGAGGATCACAAGTTTGAGATCAGCCTCAGCAACTTAGGAAGGCCCCGTCTCAGAATAAAAAATGCTAGGGAGCACCCCTGAATTTCATCACTAGCCCCCAAAACAAAACCCCAAAAGCAGCAGCAGCAGCAGCATAAACTTATCTGGTAGACGTGCAGAAGCAAACAGCAAGGAGACACCCAGACATCCAGCAGATGGGCAGCAAGCAGGGCGGACACAAGGACAAACTTCTTTTTTTAAAAATTTTTTTTTTTAAAGAGAGAGAATTTTAATATTTTTTAGTTTTCGGTGGACACAACATCTTTGTTTGTACGTGGAGCTGAGGGGAGCATGCTACCTCTTGAGCCACATCCCTAGCCCCCCAACTTCTTTTTAAAGCAAAGGCATGTTGCTTTGGTAAAAGTCCGGCTTCCAGCCAGTGGCCCAGCAACCCCACTGCCAGGTGCATGCCACTTTTATGTCCACACAAGTACTGTTCCACGAAACACTACTCCCAACAGCTGAGAAGAGGAAGCAGCCAATGTCCACTGATGGATGGAGAAACAAAACCGGCCTGTCCACATGGTGGAGTATCATCGGGCCATAAACAGGAATTCTGGCACATGCCACGACATGGACCGACCTCAAAAACCCGCTCCACGGAAGCAGCCAGATGGACATGGTCACAGGTTGCTCAAGGCCACGGCAGGCAATGTCCAGGAGAGGCAAATCCATGGACACAAACCCACGAAAGGAGGGGCTGCTGGGGCTGGTGAGGGGCATGCAGCCGCGCTCCTTCTCCCCGCAGAGCTGGACAAGAGTCCAGCCTGAACTGGACGTGCTGAAAGCCCTGGAGTGTTCATGATGAACGGATGAACGGCATGGCACCAGCACAGCTGTCAAGACAGCCGTTACCAAAAGAGGACGTTCTGACGGGGGAGCCAGGCAGCACCCCAGCCACTCTGCAGGCGCAGCAGGCTCCACTCTGCAGATGAGCCCAGGAGAGATTTCAACACAGCCCCATGCAGACAGGAAGCTCCCGACTCAAGTCGGAGCCCTGACACCAACCTTCCCTGCTGCCCACCTGGGCCTGCAGTTCATCACCCGCCCCAAGTCTGGCAGCAGGTAGTCCACGAATCTTGTCGTGGTCTCAGACATACCTGCCCCTCACTGTGGGGCTGCCCAGGTCCTGGATTTCCTACAGGCAGATCCTCACTCTCTATGGGTGAACAAAAGATAAAGCCCTGATCCTCTATCACCGGACGAGAAAAACTGCCTCCACAGACACACGGAGCTCAAACAGTGCCTCAAAGATGGCTTCGCAGGCGTTGGGAAGGCCAGGCTGTGAAGGAGGGTACCTTCTCTAAATTCTAGACCAAAACTCCAGTCCAGAACTCTGGGGGACCCACATGTGGTACTGGAGTCGCCATTTCCATGACCTCATGTTGTCCACCTCACCAACCAGCTAAGTCTACAAGGCAGACTGAAGCGAGGTATCCAGCATCCCAAACAAAAGACCTTCTGTCCTCACCTTCCCAGGGCTGCCAAGGGCCCCAGGTCAGCTCTATAACCACAGTGCAAGAGGGTCTCCTCCGAGAGCCATCAGAACTGCTGAGGCCAAGACAGCCTTCCTTTTAGACGCCCAGGTGCCGTGTCCACAAGAGCCCAGCCCCCTGCACGGACTCCTCGTCCTGGTCTGCCACTTCACTGGGCCACATCCACATGCAGCTTTGTTCCGTTCCCCCAGAAAGGTCCTGTGTTTGCATCTGACAACCCAGCAGCATCTCGAGAACACTGGAGGCCACAAGAATCCTGAGCCCTGAAACACAGCAGCAGCAGGCCTGGCGCCTTCACCGGAGGCTGACTCTGTGCAGGTCTCGAGACACAGGACAGGGCAGAGCACAAGGAGAGAGCAGGCGGAGCTGGGAGAACGGCAGCCCTGCAGAGGGCCACGGTGGGGGAGGCAGGCCCCTTCTCAGCACCCCAGCCTGTGAGTGCAGCTGGGGCCCTGCACTAGCAGCAACCAGAGCTCAGCCTGCCCTGCATGCTCACGTCAACCTGCTGCAGTCTAAGCATCTGCACCTGCTGCCCTTGCTGGCCAAACATGAGGACAGGTCCCAGGATGGCAGGGAAGCTTCCACAGACAAGGCGACCAGAAGAAGAAAGTCAGTTCTCTGTGCCCAGAGGCTAGTGATTCTTGGCCAATTTAGGTTTTCTCACTGATCCAAGGCCAACCTGCTGGCCACAACCTGCTGAAGAGCTGTGACCGAGGCCAGACCAGGCCGCTCCAGGCCCACCCCCAGCCACGGCATCCCAATGAGGGAAGGCAGCACACAGCCACATCAACACCAGTGCCCTGAGTCAGGAAGACCACAGAAACTGGACTCCACCCAAAGCCCGGCTTGCACCAGGGCTCAGGGGCCTGCACCCCCCGACTGTGTGAGTGATAGAATGTTCCCAAAGCCAGAGCCCGAAGAAAACAGCCATCTTCCCAAGAACCCCACCCGTTAACACACTGGGTCCCCTCCCTCCCCCTCACGAGGCATGGGCACACATGGCACATGGGGGAATCACACCCCCCGGGGGCTTATACCCTTGTCACTTATTTGCACAGCAGGAGTGATTCTGCAAGTCGGCAAGCACCACCAGCAGAGTACCCTGCCACACCTGCTCACGAGGTTGCCCTTCAAGTTCTGCTGTGCCTGCACACCTCGGCCCAGCCACACTCCTCAGGGGAGAAGGCCACCACTGTGCCCCACGCAGCCCAGTGCACTCGCTTTCCATGGGGTGCCTCTCACCAGCTCTGCAGGGCACTGTCACTTTAATATCTTTTCTTATCTGGTAGATAACTATGACCCCAAATGGAAGAAGGGCCAGGCACAAGACCAGATTCTAGACCCGCTTGGGTACCTCCTACAACTTAGGGATCTCGAGGCTCTCTATGGGGCCCAGGGTCTCACCAAGTTCCTTGGAGCCCTGACTCTCGCTGGCCAGCTCTCCCATCTTCACCAGGGCATCGAAATAGCCTTTGGCAGCGAAGGTCACACCTGAGAAGAAAGGAGAAAGCAGTTACTTCCCACTCAAGGTGCTTGCAGCAAAAACACGGCCACGGCAGCTGAGGCCAACCCCGCCTTGGCCTGGATGTCACCCTGTTGCTTGTTGATGTTATTTCACTCCAATCGTAAGGACTCCTTTTATTTCTTAGAACACAGTGTTCTGTGCAGCTCCAGGGCTACTCCCCATCACGTGCTGTTTGCTGACGGGGAGAAGCTCTGCTGTAAGTGCACTTCACAAGAGCTGACCCTGGGCAAGAGCACCATCAACCTGAAGCTAGGAAGCTACGGGTTCACTCCCAGACACCAAGCCAAACCCACAGAGCGCGAGCCATTTCTTGCTGTTCCTGGATCCTAGCACAAGGCCCAATGGGAGTAGGAGCCACCGTTCAGAGCAGCTTCCAGGTACCCCTGGGCACTGTTAAGGCCAGAGATGCCTCCTGTCTGTTACCACAGAAGGAAGGAATGCCCATTTGACACAGTGGGCATGGAGAGCTCAGCCCTGCTGACCTCCATCCCAGGTTGGGGGAGCAGCAGCACACAGAGGAAGTAGCAGTCTGGGCCTTCCTCCTGGTAACTCATGGGACCTTCTCCAACACTTGCTGTGCCTGACAAACTCCTGAATGTGGGGAAGGGCCTGCCCAGGCTGCACAAGGAACAGGGCAAGTCATAGTAGCATAATTACAATTTCTAATCTGTGTGCTAAGCCCAGCTAGGGGCTCATAACTGGGTCTTTGACCACATTTTGCTTATAGTTCTCAATTAAGTGCACACAAGTTGTTCTGTGGCACAGAACCCTGTACAGGATCCTCATGCTTCTGCTGTCTAAGGAGTGGGCTTCTTAAAATAAATGGGACAAAACGCAGCAGAAATCAAGCACTAGGGAGGCCAAGGGCAGCTGAGGTGCTGTGGCTGGCCTGGGTGGCAGAGCTCTGTCCTGGGAGCACTCAAGGAAAACAGGAAGAGGAAGTGGCCCTCCCCACTGTCCACAACCACCAGTAACCTTGCGAGGGACAGCAGAAAGGCCAGAAGGAAACTCACGTCCAAGCATCAAAGGCTGGAGGGTACAAATCAAAGTGGAAACCACAGGCTGCAGCTGCCACTGAGGTGATCAGTGACAACTTCCAAAAAGCAGGACACCTAGGGACAGAATCCACCAGCCAAGGGAGAGCCACACGAGAGTAAGAAAAAAATCCTTCATGGTCTAGGCCACCAGCACCCCAGACGATGGCTTTGAAGAGGGCAGCCCTAGGGGCTGCAACATCCAAGTTCCACGTCCCACCTCCTCAAGGTAGAGCCGTCCTGGACCTTTTGAGTGCACAGGCCAGGCCAGAGGCCAGTAAGGAGTGAGAGGTTGGTGACATTCAAGGCACACAGGAATGAGTTTTGCTTGGAAAATCGGATTGCAGCATGCTATGCCTAAGACAAGCAGCAAACCTGGCCTGAGACCCAGAGCCTCTTGCCATAGTCAGACTCAGCCCAAAGGCAGTGGCTCTTAGGACACCGTGAGCTCCAGGCAAGTGGCCCTACAGCAGGGGAATGGGACGGCTGACACCCCCAGGAGGCCAAGGGCACACGGCACCACTTCCATGCCCGAGGAGCTCCTCCTAGGGGATGGTGTCCTGAAGACCCTGAAGGCTGGCTCTCCACTTGAGGAGGACAGGACAGGACCCAAGTGCACCAGCAGGCAGCTGTTCTCTGATCTGGGCCCTGGTGGGCTCCTGGGGCTGTGCTGCTGGGCTCAGGACTACAGAGGGACAGAGTGAGGATGAAGGCAGCCTCCCGGCAGCCACAGGAACCCTGCAGCGTGTTCTTCTTTTCTCTCTCTTTGCAGTACGGGGGATTGACACTGGGTTGCTCTATGACTGAGCTACTGCCCCAGCCCTTCATCTTGAATCAGGGTCTAAGTAACCCAGGCTGGCCTCAGACGTGCCATGCTATTGCTATAGCCTCTTGAGTCACTAGGATTACAGGTGAGCACCCCCACCACCACCCAGCTGGAACCACGGCTGTGCACACTGCAGGCAGAGGGCAATTCAGAACATGGAAGCCCTGTGTTTACTGGCCAGTGCCACTGGCTCCAACAAAGTAGGGACCATAGGCCACTCTCCTGCACTCTGAAGGGAGAGGTTCTTCCCTGGCATGGCCCAGTGACCAGGAGACTGTTGCTACTCCTCGGGGAGGGTGGGTCTGCAAACAGCACAACTTAGCCCTGCTGGGTGGAAAGACCAGGCCTATCTAGGACCCAGTGGTATGGGAAACCCATACCCCTCCCTGGGCAGAGGGGATCAGAAGGAGCTGAATTCTCAAGGGTCTAGCACTACCACCCCCAGATCCTGGTCCTCAGTCCCAACACCTGGGGCAGAAGCTGCAGAGTATCTGCTCACCAGGGAGAGGTGGCAGGGCCCAAATCTAGGGCCACCACAGTATCAGTGGCATCCTGTACACCCTAATCCTAGTTTCCGTGTCATCCTGAAGCCCTGGGACAGGACCACCCCACCAGCAAGGAGGTGCAGTCACCATGTGCTGGACATATTCAGGGCTCAGAGAGCTACTCCCTCGTTGGGTTTCTAGTTAGATGTCGTTTCTGGAAGACATGGCTCCCCATGGCTTCCACCCAGAACCCAGGGCCCGAGCTGAAATTCGCCTGCAGGTCAGGGATGGTGAGCCCACAGACAGGGGCTGCTGCTCTCTACCTGCCAGAGCTTTCTCGTAGTTCTTCCCCATGGCGATGAAGTTGCGCAGGCTGGGGTTAAACTGCTCCATGATGGTCTGGAAGAGAGCAGAGAGAGTGGTGTCACCAGTGCTGTCCACACATCCCTCTGGGGTGGCCACCCATGGGGAGGAAGTCCAGGGTGGGTATCACTTCCCCAGCTCCAATCCCAGCTCTGGACCTTCCTGAACACCCTCGGGTAAGTGAGCCTGAGCCTGTGTGCACATCTGTACCATTGAGGTGGGCACAGACCCTCGTGCACAGGGTGTCTGCAGAGCAGCAAGGGAATACTCTATGGGCCACGCAGTACTCAGTCGGTACTAAGATGTGTGGCCGCCCAGGCACCATTACCCAGCTGGCAGCGCTGAGTCAGCCCTAGGAGGCCGCCCGCCGGCCACACACAAATGCTCAGCAACGCCCCCCACGCTAAAACCCTAACTCAACACATCAATTACCAAACATCAACTCTGATTAGTACGATCCACAGCCTGATCTGCAAATACCACGCTATGAATAATCCAACAGGCTCCGGATCTGTTTGCCTGACGGACTGCAGTCTCCTGCCAATATCAGCAGTTCTTAGACTCAAGAAATTAGATTTTCCCTGTGAAGGCCAAATAAATGTTTTAATTACAAGGCGTAAAAACAGGCACACACAAACAGAGCCAAATGAGAACTCTACCAGCATAACACGCACGACTACCGACAGCCAACCCAGCCAGGGAGGACCCTGGGAGCAATTCTGAAAGAAAGCCCTGTCTCGGCCACATCCTAAGCCTTCCGGTGGTTTGTCATGCTGGGAGTCTGATCCTTCCTGAGGATAACAGGAAGGGAAGCTGCCTGGCTCTGCTGGGGCGGGAGGCTGTGGGGCCTCCACCCACCCAACCAAAGCCTGTGGGCGGGGGCGAGGGCAACCCTGTCCCAGCTCCAGTCTAGGCCGCAGGACCCGCGGGGCAGGTGAGGAGGGCATTTGAGGACAAGAACACCACTTTACACCATGGGACCTGGCTCCAGGAAATGCACTGACACACGCTCCACCTACCTTCCTGAGGTATGGCGGCACTGAGACCTGTGTTCTTGAGGACAAGGGCTCAGCTCTGACCCACCCCTACATGCTTGCTGTCACAGGCTTGCTGTCCCCTCCTCACTACACCAGAGCCCACCCCTCAGCAGCAGGGACACCTGCACGGGTATGGGCACAGACCTGTGCCAGCCCAAAGCCCATGTGCATAGCGAGGATGCAGCAGCCACCCAGCCTGCCAGTGCCCCACAGATCCGGTCTCTGGAGGGAAGGCGCAAGGGGGCATACGCAGAGGCAGGGCCAGAGGTACTCAGCAGCAGAGTGAAGACAGGAAGGAAAGCAGGCCTCCCCAATTGTGGTAGCTTCCCCCAGGCAGGGCAGGAAGCTGGGGGTGGGGGGAGGTTGAGCAGAGGCATGTCAGTCAGCAGGCCGCTCAAGCTTTAGTGGAGGGCCCAGGTGGACACTAGGAGGCACCCCAAGAGGCTGCTCAGTCCTGATTAGGAACAGGAGGAAAGGCAGTTCCAACAGGGCTGGATTCCTGAGCACTGCACACGGAGCACTGCCATGTGGACACAGGTAGGGTGAGTGGAGGGGAAAGGGTGGCCACACGCGAGCCTCTGGTCTGGGAGGGCAGGTGAAGCGTACTGCACACAGGATGGGGACCAGGGTCTGCACCAGTGGGATCCAAGGGGTGCCTGGAAACGGGCAGGGATACCCCACGGGCAGTGGGATGAGCCATGTGCAGTGTCTGGGGGCATGGGCACAACAAGTGCTTCTAAGCATTTTGGGAGGCAGTGGATGAGCTCTGAGCTCCCAGCAGCAATGTTCAAATCCCGCCCCCCCAGACCCAGGAATGCAGAAAAACTCCATGAGTGGGACTGCCGTTAGAGACAGGAAAAAGTGTGGCGCTGACCTGGCAAGGGTGCATGTGACTGATCACGGTGTTCTGGTGCAGGCTCCTGCACGTTCACCTGTGCACACGTGTGCACTGACTGCATCAGACATGCTTCTCACTGGCTGAGACTGACAAGTCTGAGAGCTGGCCCCAGAGGCTTCCCTGCTCACAAGACCCCAAAGAGCCTGGCTCCAGGCTCATGGCCCCCATGTCTCCTGCAACCCCCGGGGAGGAAGAGAGACCTAACCCGGGATCCTGAGCCCTGTTGACACCCTGAGTGACAGGAGAAAACACAAGAGCCGCCCAGGGCCTAGACAGACAGGTCACTGAGGTTTCACTTCCTTGGTGCAGCAGCTGAGCTCACACACAAGGAATGTGAGGAAGTGGGCAGGGCGGCACGGGTGCCAGCCAGGCCACCTGAGCATACTATGGCCTCCATCTGCTGAGGGACCAGCCTGCCAGGACACACAGGTGCTGCCGTCTCAACCTGGAGGTGGTGGCAGAGGCAGATACCCTCAGCTAACATTCCGAGAGGGCTTGACCTTGCTGAGGAAGGCAAACTCTTCCTCCCAGCTCTGCACACTGATACCCAGGCCTGGCCACAAGAGTGGGGCTTTTGTGGAGCCATGTCTCAGTGCTCCTGGTGAATGTCACCAACCCTCATCTGGGTCATCCATCTCTTGGCAATCATGGGAGGGACCCAGTGGTTGGTGAAGGGACCAACCCCTCTGGGAGGAATCCATCTCTGGTAAAAGGACATTTTTCTGAGCTCCCAGGTCCATCCTATCTTTCTAGGGCTCACAGAGACTATTTTAAGCTAGTGGGCCAAGCTGTCCCCATGAGAAAACCAAGACGTGCCCATCCACCCTCAGAAGCTGAGTGGAGGCTCCTGCCCCGCCTCACACAGCCCGGAGGGGTGAGCGCACGCCAGGCCTGCCCTCCCTGGCTGGCTCCCAGGCCAGCGGCCTGTAGAGTGTCCAGGGGTACTTACAGCTGGCAGGGGCTTTAGAGTATACCTGGGGTTCTTGTGAGGGGACCATGGGGGCCAACGAAAGTGGGAGCAGCCTCACCTCAACTACCTCCTCCCCCGGAAAGGATGCCAACCCCACAAGGAGTGGTGTGGAGGGCAGCCAGAGCAGCTGCAGGACTGCCAGGGCGAACTGCACTCAAAGATCTGTTTTCTTTAAAAGGGGAAAAAGGCAACTCCTGGGATTCCACTGGGCAGTCTAGAGGGTGACCATCTGCCAAGCCAATGAGGACAAAGGGCAGAGAGCAGCTACCCTCACCTCCCCCTACTTGAGGGAACAGGGAGAGGGCCAGAGTATTTACAGAAAGGAGGTACGCCAAGGGACTTTGCCCTCGGGCTGCGGCACCCAGGTCTGCAACTGCCAGCCCAGGATCCTGGCCACTCTTTGGCCTTGGCTCCTGCCACAGTCCCCCTCCAGCACTACCTAGGAAGACCAGTCACTCCTAGTAAAGGACACAGGGGGTGTCTGGCCACCTCTCTGTGTGCTGTGCTTGTGTATGCCACCTGCACGTGCAGCAGGGCTAGCCACAGCTCCTCCTCATCCAGAGGACACTCACAGAAAAGCGGACATTGGAGTCTCCCTGGCTGCCTGGGGTCCTCTCCAGATCCATTTTACAGGTGGACAAAGTAAGGGTCAGGGTCTTAGGAAGCCTGTCCCCACCCTAGTTCCTTGTAGAGCCAAGTCCTGCTTCAGCACTGGGCCAACCAAAGGGCCAAACTCACCCCCTCCTCAATGGCCCCAAGGCAATCCCCCAGTAAGTCACACTCCAGTAAAGTCAGAAAGAACAGGGAGGGTGGGGCAACAGGCTCCTCTTCCAGAGGCCAGTGCTCAACAGCTCACCCCAGGACGAGGGCCTACGCCTGCCCACCTGCTGCCAGCAAGTACTAGCTCCTACTTCCCAGGAGCCCAGGGCTGCCCACCATCACTCCCATCGCTGCTGGATCTCAGCAAGAGAAACACACACAAGCTTCCAGGCTGCAGCCCTAGGGAACCTTTCTAGGTCTCCCATGGTGCCACTGCCCAGGTAAGAGGGTTGTGCAGGCAGACACAGACCTCATGGCACCCCAGTCCAGGTTTTCCCAGAAACTCTACCCAGGATTCCAAGGCTCCCATGGAAGGGTGGGCAGGACAGGGACACACAGGAACTGATGATGGAGCCCAGCCTGGGAGCCTGTGGCCCACGCATCCAGTGCATGGGTGGTGTATAGACAAGGCTCTCCCTGGAAGACTTCCCAGGGCTCACTGTCCTCGGATACAGCCTCAGTCTCCCCACTGTAGGAGGTTCAGGCAGAGAAAGGGTGGATCCATCATCCATGGGACCACCTGCTGTGGCCTCTCCCACAAGGAGCACTGACAGGCTCAGGATCCTGGGCCAGGGTGCTGTTCACAGTACAAGAGAAACTCGTGTGTGTGTGCGTGTGTGCGTGTTTTATCTTATTCTAAAAACTGGGGAGAATCTTTATTTTTATAGTACTGGGGATTTAACTTAGGGGTATTTTACCCCTGAGCTACATCCCCAGCCCAACTTTTTATTAAGAGATGGGTCTTGGGGCTGGGGATGTGGCTCAAGTGGTAATGTGCTCACCTGGCATGCGCGGGGCACTGGGTTGATCCTCAGCACCACATAAAAATAAAATAAAGATGTTGTGTCCACCGAAAACTAAAAAATAAATATAAAAAAAATCTCTCTCTCTCTCTTTCTCTCTCTCCTCCCTCCCTCCCTCCCTCTCTCTCTTTCTCTCTCTCTCTCTCTCTCTCTTTAAAAAAAAAAAAGAGATGGGTCTTGCTAAATTGCTGAGGTTGGCCTCAAACTTGCAATCCTCCTGCCTCAACCTCAGCCTCCTGAGTTGCTGGGATTGTAGGAGTGAGCCTGGCAAGCACTGAGGGCTGCCTAGAAAAGGGAGACCTTGAGCCACACCTCACCTGGTTACCCTCAGAGAGGTAGGAGTGAGAGTGTGTGTGTGTGTGTGTGTGTGTGTGTGTGTGTGTGTGTGTGTGTCAGAGAGCAAGCAGACGCACACGTCCAGAAAGAACAGGGCCTTTACTGTGGGGAGGTGTGTGAAGATGGCAGGAGCCTAAAGGTTCCAGAGAAGAGCACGGCAACCCAAGTGGAGC